CCCCAGTGAGGTGAGGGCAAATTCATCTGAGTAGGTGCGGTATGACTTGCTATGGCCGTACCTCTTGTACAGATAGTCGAATGGGATATAAGAGTCTTTTAAACAAGTCAAGTCTGGGTTCTTCTTCAGTCCCATGATCTTAAGGAAACCCCTACCCTTGCAATTTTCTGGCATAAGCAAACCCGGAGTCTCCCAAGGAATACTAGCTAAGCCTCCTATTTCTTCGAGCAAAGGAGTTATTTCAAGGTCCACGAAGCGGAACACGGACCTGTCACTATCCCAGAACAGAGTTGCAGCCTCTATGATTTTGTTGTCAGGCTGGATTTCTAGAAGAGAAGGCAGATTCCCTAAGTATTTGCGGACGAGTGTCTGATCACTGGAGTGGAGATCTTCCCACCAATTCAGCAGCCTTGGATGAATGTTGGTTACCATGCCAAATCTGGGGACTTCGTGCCTCATTTTCTGCAAAATAGAGTGTTAGACCCCTTCCCCGCCAGACTCGACTATTTAAACCAATAATTAGCATAAAAAGCATTTAGTTCTCCAAATAAATGCACAGAACATGTAGGTGTCCGTTTGGGTTTCAGGGAAACCCGATGGACTTTGGACAAGGCTATCTTAATGAGTCATTATGTGGACAACATAACCAACTCGACTAGGTTTGACCATGATGCATGCATAGTTAGACAGAGTAAGGTTTCTATCGGGGTGTTAGACAGGTACCCTTGAGCGGACAACTCAAGAGGGAAAGGCACGAAACCGTCGACTGCACCGCTGATCGACTGGTTTTACCGCAAATACGCCTTTGCCGAATTTAAAGGGTGATAATATTGGAAGAGCGCAACCACTCATTATAAGCGTTGCTATGATATTTGTTTGGCACAAGTGGAATATGATGTTGAAGATGTAGTTTACAAGACTGAAACAAATTGACATGTATTTTCACGTTCATAAGATAAATGATCACACTAATTGCAGTAATTACAATAGTATTGAAATAAAGCAGTAAAGGAAAGCAACTAAAGGAAAGAAAAGACATGAAGAGCCAAGTTAGTTTCGTAGTGAAAGAATAAAAGACAGTAAATAAAGCAATTAATGAGATAGTAAAGTCACAAGCAATATGCGATGGTAAAAGCCTAAAGAAGATCCCCAGCAGAGTCGCCATGCTATCGACGCCCCCTTTTTCTCTAACCGTGGGGTCAGAAATCGGGTATACGACATTAGGAGGACAACTCTATTCCCTTTCGAGAATTGGGTTTAGAAGTTGAAGAGTCGCCACCTAATGATTATAGTGCATTAGGACACTTTTTAGAAGAGCTTGAGTTGGAAAACCAGAGATTAGGGTAAGGGCTAGAAATTATCCCGAGGGGAAGGTGTTAGGCACCCCTTAGGATCCACAATTGTGGTTCCCGGCTATGCTACAATTGTGACTTTAAGAAGACAAGTAGAAAAATAAAGCAAAGGGCTTCACATAGTTTTGCAAACAAGTTTAAGAGTTGAAGAAGTAGAGAGTATAGAAAATTAGTTTTAAAAGAAAGCTTAAAGATTAACAAGTAAAGGGGAAAGGGGTCCTAGGTTTGTGATTAATATGGATCACTTCAATGCAATACCTAGCAATCACTCCTCAAAAGAAGGGTCGCACGTGATATTAGCGCATCGGTCATCATCTCCATATTCTACCCTTCCCACCCCGTAAAGGTTATTTAAACGCGTGATTGGGTCACGAAAATTTAATGCGTGTTGTATCCGTCCCATCCTATAAGTCCTAGAGGGTATTTAGGACCACTATTCCTACGAGGTAAGGACTAGGCTGAACCCTTAGGTTTAAAGGACAAAATACTAGGCGACATACATAACAAGTAGGACTACACATAAAGGAATCATACAAAGGCAAATAAGTGGCTCACAAATCCCTCCATAAGTAAACATGTAATTAGCACGTCTCAAACACATTTAAGGTCTTAAAGATAAGAGTTTAAAAAAAAACAGGAATGCCAGAAAAAGATAAGCTCCAGTGAAAGTAGAAGGTTTAATAAAAAAAAACTTAATGGCCCGAAGAATGTTTGACTTGCAGAAATACAACTAAGAGGGCAACACTTGAGTAAGTAAAAGGTAAGGGAATTGTTAAAACATCGTTTGAAGAAAGTAGAGATTTGAAAATACAGCAATTTGAAATAACACGTTCCTGGACAAAAAGATAACCTAGTAGCTCGAAAGCTTAATAGGGCGAGACTCAGAAAATTAGTGAGAGTGTATAAATATGAAACTGGTTTCCAGATAGAGAGATTTTCAAAGAAAGAGTGAACCTTAGAAAGAGGCTGAGTAGTCTGAAACTGATAAAACAAAATCAATCAATTTTTTTAGGCCCAAAGCTTGCCTAGGCGTCGTATGTATTGCCTACTTGAAAAGGTGAACATGCATATTAATTCCAATTTTTTAAAGAGAAGACGCAGTTTAGCCCGAACTTGTGTTATTAAATTAA